GAGTTTAAAGGTTTTTGCTTGAGTAGATCTAAAACGGAATATATGGAGTGTAATTTTAGTAGTAATAGACCTAGTGAGGGGATTGTGACTTTGGGAGATCAAGTCATTAATAAGAGTACACGTTTTAGATATCTTGGATCTATTGTTCATAGTGATGGTGAAATTGATGGAGATACTATCAGCAGAATTCAAGTTGGATGGTTGAAGTGGAGGAATGCATCGGGCTTGTTGTGTGATAGAAAAGTACCCCTCAAACTTAAGCGAAAATTCTATAATATGGTAATGAGGCCTGAAATGCTTTATGGTGCTGAATGTTGGCCATTAAAAGAGAAGCATAATACTAAGTTAATTGTGGCAGAGATGAGGATGCTCAGGTGGATGAGTGGCTTTACCCTTAGAGATAGGATACGAAATGAGCATATACGTGAAAAGGTTGGAGTAGCTCCAATAGAAGATAAGATTAGAGAGAGTCGCCTAAGATGGTTTGGTCACATAAAACGGCGGGATTCATGTAGCCGACCCCACGTAGTGGGATAAAGGCTTGATGTTGTTGTAGAGGGTCAGCTAGATGAATCTTTTTTCTTCATTGGGTCCTATTAAGAGTCAAATTCTTATTTAAATCTAATAAAAAAATCATTTCTAATAGTTTCTAACAAAGTCCTTTAAGGTCTAGCTTTACCTTCATAATATAAGTAGATTTAACACATTGATGTGTCAGTTCAGGCTGAACCGGCCCAAGGGCCAGTTCAACATTACTACAGGAGGTGGAATCCATCCGCCTCCCTTGGCTTGGCCCGCCCATAGGGTGGGCCCCACTCTTCTATTGGTTTTGAAATTTAAACGGTGGGGGCAGCTACATGAATTGTATTAAAGAGGATGAGAGAGATTAGAGAGTTTATATGTTTTGCTTAATTGGGAATTAGGGTTTCTTGGCATTTGATCTATAGACTCTCTTGTCTAGAGATTTGGGAGAGAATATCCTCCTCTCAAATTGAGGATCTCTTGTATCTTGCTTTATAATTATTTTCCTTTGTTTTCCATATGATTTTCATATCATTTGATTGATCTTCCACGATGTTTTCTACGTTTTCTCACTATTTTTATCAATTTTGGTTAGGTTTGCTTGCGAACTCAAGTAGATCTAATAGGATTACTTGCAAACTCAAGTATTTCCTATCACACATCTACTCTCTAACTAGGTTATTGGAAGTCCGACATATTATGTGACCAAACCGTCTAACGGCGACTCTATAATCTTATCAGCCACTAGAACTACACCAACCTTTTTACTTGTAGACTTGTTTAGCAATCTGTCACCATGTGTATACCCGCTCATCCATCAAAGAATCCTCATCTCTACAACACTTAATTTTATCCTTCTTTTTTAATGGACAAGATTCTACACCATAAAACATTGCAGGTCTCGCCACCAGCTTATAAAATTTTCCCTTAAGTTTGAGGAGTATTTTTCTATCAGACAACAAGCCTGATGCATTCCTCTAATTCAACCATTAATATCTCCAACTATTTTACCATTACTTCGATCAATAGACCCAAGTATCTAAAATGTACACTCTTTTAATGACTTGATCACCTAATATCACAATATTACCGATAGATCTATTATTACTAAAATTTCACTCCATATATTCAGTTTTAGAAGTACTGAAACAAAAAAAAATCTTTAGACTCTAAGATTGACCTCCATAATGAAAGTTTCATTTAAGTCACTCTCAAGTCTCATCAAGAAGATGAATATAATCAACAAAAAATATACAACATGGTACATCTTGCAAATTTCCAGTAAGAACAAAAGAATTGAATATGGTAGTACAAAAGGAGGGGGTGTATAGCATTGTCAATTGTATTATTTACTATCGCTCAAAAACTAGATTGCATTTTTATAAGCCATATCAAAACTCAATCTAGTTCAATGCAATTCTATTTTATAAATCATACTCTTGAAAACTAAGTTTTAATATAAAATACAATTATCAAGAGTGCTATTAAAGAAGAGGAATGAGATCTTAGGGAGCATAAATGGCTGCTATCTAGTGGGAGGACTCTAGGAGATAGCTTGGCGTGGACAAGGAAATAACATTTTCTCGAAAAGAGGAGATATGATGATATTGCTTGACTTGTAAGCAAACACTTTAAAGTTTTTTTTTCCTACTTAGTTCCCTTTCTTTTGGCAGGGCAACAAAAATATGAGCTTTGAAGTACGGCTGTCAACATTTGATCCGACCCGATAACTCGATCCGAAACTGACCCAAAATTTTTGGATTCGGGTCGACCCGTTAAAAGAACGGGTTGTGTTAGGATTTTAATTTTTGACCCATTTAGTTTTTCGAGTTGGGTTCAGATTAACCAGAAAATCCGAACCTAACACGAAATAACCCGCACCTTTTATGAGTAAATAGCTGATGTGGGCGTGGAGACTCGAGCGGGCAGAAGATATTTTCATTATTTGATTCTGTCCGTGGCTTCTGAGTTAGTAAAGAGAAGTGTAATATACATTCACAATTAGCAAAATTGAGAAGTAGGGTGACCTTAACATCAGACCTTTGGACTTCTATTAACATAGATGAGTTTATTT